ACTATTGATCTTTCATGTTAATCTTCCAAAACGTATTGCAATATGTTTATCTTGTAAAAAACCTACAAGTAGATATACCTTTCCTTTTCTTCATCCTATTTCAAATGAAATTCAAGCTGTACTCTTGAATAATCGAATATTTTTATCTCCTGTATTCATGCATTGTTCTTTAGGAAGAAATTCAGGACATAGCGTAATATATACAGAATATAAAACTCTAACTGGAACAATGAATTTTTCAAAAAACATGCATTCTTTGATCTTATATTCTGGAATGATCAGTGCCTATTTTGAAGATAATTCAAATAATTCTAATACTTGGCTTAATAATACTTTCATACCGCCAATTGGTTGAAACAAAATAATCCATTTTTAAAAAATTACTCTTGCCTTTTAAATTCACCTGATTCTCAAATTGCCAATCCTTTTCTAAGAGCTTTTCATTTATCTGATGATGATTCTGCCCAACCCTTTTTATTTAATGATATTGTAGTCCCAAATATTAATTTTAACACTGAAATTCACAATGAACATTATCATTATTCACATCTAATGGCAGGATTTGTCAGAACTCCAAACAATACTTTGCTACCAATATCTGTAAATGATCCAAATTTGGAAGTTTTATTATTTCCTGATTTATTTCCTGACGGAAAAGGACATTATTACCACGATAACTATTCTAGATCAACTTCAGCCCACAAAGAAACCTATTCTAAATATATTAAACAAAGAACATTCAATATCGATTCACGTTTTAGGCTTCATCATAAACAGTTGGCGTAGTCATATTTACAATTAGAAAAATTACACAACCACCAAAATAATCAACGTATATGGAGACAACAACAAGCTAACAAAACATATCATCCACTAACTGCTGCATAGCTTATTCAAACCTCTAATTATTCTAACAAGCTAATAATAGACGAATCATTAATAACCACCTTACCAACCTTCATTTGAACTGGTGAATCTTATTTTCACGAAAAACAGTATCATGTCAATACAATGATTTCCTCATATGGACTACCTTCAATTTTTCTTATAGTGACAATGACCTAAAGTCATTGGAAACACTTACATAAAATTTTAAAATCAACAGATAACCACTATACAATTCCTATAAACAGACCAGTACATACTATATTACATTTTATACATCGCTTCAGCAACTCAAAAAGCATGTTTTAAAAAATTCTTATCATTCAAATTGGGGTAACGTAACTCAATTTTTTGAAAGAGTAGAATTTCAAAATTGTGGTACTGCGTATACATATAGTATATATTGGGTAACAAAGTCAATTGAACAAATGATTGATGAAAATATCATAAGATCTGACTTACTGAATCAAATTTTAGAACCATAATTATATGCAAAAGTAAAGTAAATCAATACACACTTGTAATTCAAAATGTGGAGTTCCCGCTGCTTTAGGACATTCTTGCAAAAAAGGATTTCCCCATCCTTTTTCATCATGTACTTATTTTAATAATGAAACTCAAACTTACATTTATAAATGTCTTAAACCAGAAGATCAATGGGTCGTTCTGTATCATCCTCAAATTTTATTGATTTGGGATGCACATATGAATATTCAATATGTAAGCTTTCAAAAATTAGCTTTTTATTTGATAAAATATATAGTAAAATCAGAATCATCTCACGTTTTCAATATTAAAGAAGGTAATAAATTTAGAGAACATGTTGTAACCTGAAGATTAGGTTCTATGGAATTAATATTTTTGATATTAGATGAAATTATTTGTAATTCATCTTCCTCCGTTATGTATCTTACCACTGATTCTCCATCAACTAGACCTAAAGCAATACGCTCTATTTACCTAATCAATGAAACTAACGATAATCCATATTGAACAAATCATATTGAAAAATATTTTGACCGACCATGTGAAGAAGAATTTAATAACTTAACATATCCACAATATTTTCAAAATTATGAAATATTCGTTTCCAGATCCACAACACGATCTTCTATTCACATTAACAGATTGGGCAATTATGTAATTAAAAGAACTACTCTGAAATTAGTTTGATTTCAACATCTAAGATTACAAGATGGACAATTATATTTTTATCAAAAACTGTTGCTAGAAACTCCCTGTAGAAGTGAAGAAGAACTACTTGCACACTTTGCGAC